CCTTCACTAAAGCTGTTTCTGTGCTGTGATGAGCTCTGAAACCTGACTGAAACTCTTCAAATAAGCCTCTGCAGATGATCTGTTAGCTGTTTGACTCTTTCAAGGATGTTTGATATGATTGAATTTGATGAAGTTAAGGTAAGGCCGGCTCAGCAGCGCTCTGGCTGCGGCGCCGACAGACCACAGTGATCTTTTCAGCAGATTCAGATGAGCCTGAACAGTGAGCTCAGTTCCATAGTCGTTACTATGCAAACTGTCATGAGCGCTGAACAATGGCCGTGAGTAGCATTCAGAGAGTTGGGAACCCTCAGCTCAGCCTTTCCCTTTTCATGTGTTCTCAACGCCTCATTGAAACTTACAGGACGTCTGGGTGAAACACACGTTCTGGCCTGATGAGGTAGCTCTTTGGTGTTGGTTACGCCTCTTAACTCTTAGGAATCATTCAAGCATGAAAAAGTCACCTAACTGCAGAGATGAACCAGTGCTGCGTCTGCATATAACAAATAACCTGTGTGTTCCTGCAGGCATTACACACAGCTGCTCCCAGTTCAAACTGGTGATGTTGACTCATAAGTTTGTTATAATTGTGTAAACTCTGTTTTCTCCTGATGTACTTGTCTGTACGTAGTTCCCATGTTTATGAGGGATGGCACACACTTTTTAAGACTTTTACAAAGACACAGTTCGATCAAAATGTAGAATTAAAATTGTTTGAATTGATTAAATTTAGTTTTTAAATATACATATCTATATTTATTTATTGGTGTTACGATATGCGAACATAGTTTCTAATGAGTAACGTGTTTATTTGTGAGTAGTGCTGCGGCCTGGTCGTTGAGTAAGAGCTGTTGCAATCATTTTTCGTTATGTAATCGGGATTGACGGTACTCCACTCTGATTGGCTTATTTGTGTGGCCGTTATTTCCCCCAACTAATCGCAAAGAAAACCCAGGTTAAGGCGGGCTGAAACCAGCCAATGACACTGCACTGACATCACGACTGTTATAAAAACCTCAACGTGACGTAGACTTCCTTCAGTTACAGTCGCCATTTTCTTGTGGTCGTTGAAAGGGCACTGAACTGCGACAGAAGACGGCTGAAATATACCCCCGAACCGGCGTGATTTCTCAACAAGTCCGGGACGAACAGTTAGCCGTATGAGTTCATGGACTGCCTGCTGATCAGTGGTTATGGTTTCGGTAAGACTCGCTTAGGTTTGGCCGAGTGTCTCAGCTCAAAGATGGACGACAGCGCGGCGAGGGAAGACGCCTGCCGGGAGTACCAGTCCTCCCTCGAAGACCTGACGTTTAACAGCAAGCCGCACATCAACATGCTGACCATCCTGGCCGAGGAAAACATCAACTTCGCCAAGGATATCGTGGAAATTATTGAAGCACAAATAAGCAAGGTTTTTATGAATATAGAATACTTTCATACTGAGATGTTTGCTGTCGATGTATGTAGTTAGCTGCTAGCCGAACATGGCGACGAGGTCGGCCGCGGTAACGGTCTGAAAACATCCAGCTGTTTGTTCTGCTAGCTCCGCATTCAGCCAACTCTTGAACAACTGTGTGTATTAAAGTCAACCGACCATTTATTCTTTATTGTACTCAGCAGCACGCCATTTCTCTGCAGACTCGCTGTAGGTACTCGATGTGGTCTGGAGTTGAAATCCACCTTAAATCAGCCCACCTTAAATCAGTCCGTCTTTACCGTTCGCTCTGCGTTTTCCTCTTTAATGTGGAGTAAACGTCAGTAGACGTGAGTAGAAAAGAAGGCGGCACTTTAGCGGGACGTTAACTTTGGTTCAGCTTGTTGCCATGGTAGTTTGTTTAAACCAACTTTATTTAAACAACTGCAGCGACAGAATACTTTCTGACACGTGGGAAGGGCCGAAATCTGCACGAGGCTCCTTTAAAACCTAGATTAAAGTTCAGGCTGATGATTATTTCTTAAAATTAAAAAATACTAAATTCACAAAATGGATGTTTTTTGAAAGTCTTGTTTCTCTGGGTTATTAACACAAAGGATGAGGCCACATAGAGCTGGGGAAGTAAATCTGAGTCACTTTCCTGAACAGGGGAAATCACCGCGCTGTTATTTCTGGCCTCAGTCGGACAGTAGCTCTACTGAACTCCCGGTCATGTCTCAGTTTGTGCCCTGCTGGTCTCAGGCTGATGCTCTGGAGTGTCTGAAGTGGTCTAAACTTTGTTTAATAAAGAAACAGTAAAAACCTTGAATTGGCCTAAATTCCTCACATCAGGTTCAGCAGTTTGACTTTAAACCAAGGACAGATTTCATAGAAGTGCCTGACGTGTTGAAGTGTCGCCCGCTGATGTCTGTAAATGAATAAATAACTGCTGTGCTGATGGTGTCACAGTTCTCCTTTAGAAGTCTGAGGTGTGCACATGTTGAACAAAGCTTTGGTAAACAGTCAAACTTCCCTCTGCAGCACTTGAGCTTTCAATCAGCGTTAAGCTCGTCACATTGATCTGATTGAGGATTAGCGGCTCGAGTTTTTGGTGGATTTTGACCATCTGTAGTCCTGCTGAGCTCAGACCACATCAGTGTCTCTGAATGGTTTCAGTCTGATCTGTTGTGTGTTATCAGTGTCGGGTCATTGATTAACGGGGCGTCTTCAACACCCCCTCCGCCCGCCATCACGTTACACTCAGCTTCTGGTCCATGACACTTGATTTAATTCTCGAGTGAATCTTGAATTCTTGAAAAATGTGATTTGAATGGTTAAAATGTTTATAATAAAAAATGTGAAATGTGCTTTTTGTCATTTTTTATTTCCCAGTGTAATTTCTTGGCATGACTGGTTTCATTTACTGCACACACTGAGGGAGGGAGGGGGATTAAAGATGTCGGGGGTCAAAGTGGAGCTGTGAGGGGGAATAAAGCTCACTGGGGGTGGAGTCACCTCGAAGACGAGCCTTCTGGGTAAACGTACAAAGAGCGGTGGAAGGTTACAAACGCTCTTTGGAGGTAAACGGCTCCTGGACTGAAGCCTGGCGGCGCCACGGACTCATTTTGTAACTCAGCAGACGCTGAGTGGACTCGTGAAGATGACTTTTCCTTTTTCTCCTGTGAAGACGCAGCAGCGCACGGACTGACTGGGACTGAGATGTTTTCCTGCAGTTCTTGACCTTTTGAACTTTTTCCACGTTTTTGGGTGCTGAGGGGCGGGGCAGGTGTACTGTGAGCTTTTATTCTGAAATGTTGCTTTTAACCCCTGTTTGTTTTCTAAACTTGTCGAGTTCTCTTATTGCTCCAGGCCCCACCCAGCGAGAAGCTTCCAGTTTTGTACTTAGTGGATTCCATAGTGAAGAATGTTGGAGGAGAATACCTTGCAGTGTTTGCTAAAAACCTAATCCCTTCATTTATATGTGTCTTTGAAAAGGTACAGTTCTCTTTGCTGCCGTTTGGCCTTGTTAAGATTTAAGCAGTGACATGTTAGCAGCCCTCGCACTCCCTCCTGTTTGTCCTGTTGCTTGCTTTCTTCTGTGTAGTCTCCTGCACTCTGCTCCTGTCTTACTGCGTAACGTACTGCTAATGAAAGCTGGAGGGAGGCTTTAGGACTTTAGCTGATGTTTTGAAGTGGACTAACAGCTGTGCACAGTGTGATGTCGGCTTTTTGTTGGTGGCTGTGGACCAAGCGCTGTCCTCTGTTTGTAGGTGGACGAAAACACTAGAAAGTCCCTGTTCAAGCTGCGCTCCACCTGGGACGACGTGTTCCCGCCCAAGAAGCTGTACGCGCTTGACGTGAAGGTCAACTCTGTGGACCCAGCGTGGCCCATCAAGCTGCCGCCGCCCACCCCCAACTCCAGCATCCACGTCAACCCCAAGTTCCTCAAACAGGTGTGTACGAGCGGGGGCGTGAGCCTCGGGCAGCCCGAGGTCGCCCCGGCGCAGAGGTTTGCTCCTGAGGTCCTCGTCGGGCTTCTCAATAAATGTGTCTGTGCCCTTGAAATGTCGATAAAGAAGATGTAGTGAAACGTGCAGGTACACCCCCGAGGATTGTTCACATGTAAATAAGTTATTGTTACAGTAACTACCACAAACAATGTTTCCTATTAAGAGTCTTTAAAAGGTCCAGAGAGCTTCAGCGTGGGAGGTTTTTGTTTTTA